CTAAACCATGATTTCTTTAAAATGACGTTGTACACACATAACAACGTCATAGTTTTTTAAAAAGCGACGTAAAAGGTTTTTCAAACGATGCTATTTTTCAAACCGTCGTCTTTACATATAATAGACAACCCTTTTTTATTAAAAAACCGTCATCTTTACTTCATAATAGACGACCCTTTTTATAAAAAACCGTCGTCTTTACATATAATAGACGACCCTTTTTATAAAAAACCCGTCGTCTTTACTATAATAGACGACCCTTTTTTATAAAAAACCGTCGTCTTTACATATAATAGACGACCCTTTTTATAAAAAAACCGTCGTCTTTACTATAATAGACGACCCTTTTTATAAAAAAACCGTCGTCTTTACATATAATAGACGACCCTTTTTATAAAAAAACCGTCGTCTTTACTATAATAGACGACCCTTTTTTATAAAAAACCGTCGTCTTTACATATAATAGACGACCCTTTTTATAAAAAAACCGTCGTCTTTACTATAATAGACGACCCTTTTTTATAAAAAACCGTCGTCTTTACATATAATAGACGACCCTTTTTATAAAAAAACCGTCGTCTTTACTATAATAGACGACCCTTTTTTATAAAAAACCGTCGTCTTTACATATAATAGACGACCCTTTTTATAAAAAAACCGTCGTCTTTACTATAATAGACGACCCTTTTTTATAAAAAACCGTCGTCTTTACATATAATAGACGACCCTTTTTATAAAAAAACCGTCGTCTTTACTATAATAGACGACCCTTTTTTATAAAAAACCGTCGTCTTTACATATAATAGACGACCCTTTTTATAAAAAAACCGTCGTCTTTACTATAATAGACGACCCTTTTTTATAAAAAACCGTCGTCTTTACATATAATAGACGACCCTTTTTATAAAAAAACCGTCGTCTTTACTATAATAGACGACCCTTTTTTATAAAAAACCGTCGTCTTTACATATAATAGACGACCCTTTTTATAAAAAAACCGTCGTCTTTACTATAATAGACGACCCTTTTTTATAAAAAACCGTCGTCTTTACATATAATAGACGACCCTTTTTATAAAAAAACCGTCGTCTTTACTATAATAGACGACCCTTTTTTATAAAAAACCGTCGTCTTTACATATAATAGACGACCCTTTTTATAAAAAAACCGTCGTCTTTACTATAATAGACGACCCTTTTTTATAAAAAACCGTCGTCTTTACATATAATAGACGACCCTTTTTATAAAAAAACCGTCGTCTTTACTATAATAGACGACCCTTTTTTATAGCTCTTATAGATTGAGTCAAAGACTCACAAAGGCACTCCGTGCAATATCTGATATTTTTTTCCAAGTCAATGAGTAGCTACATGCATTTCCTCTCCACTAGCTAGTGAAAAATTTCCAAGGTAAATATATAATTCCACAAAAACTACAAAAGATTTCGTACAACTAGCAGAAATTGTTCAAATATTAGTAATCTTCCACAAAGACAAGTGGTGGAGATTTAAGTGTTATGGTCTTCTGATCATGTCTCCTTTGTAAACTCCAGAATGAAAAATGTTCGCAGTGGTCCCTGCAAATTAAATGAAAAATGTAACTTAATTTTTATATGCAAACAATTCTACAAAAATTAATTATTTATACGAGGGGATTTTCAATTAGGATATGAGCAGCAAACTCAAAAATAATTAACCGTGGGTCCCTCAGCAATTAACAGTAAGGTAAATTAATTAAATATTTAAGATAAAAGTTAAGAAGGTTTACATTGAAACAAAAATGTCTTTAAGTTGGCTTCACACCTTGCTTGTTTCATGGAGTATATTATGTTTTTATTGGGTATTAAATGGATAGCGTTTGGACGTTCCTTCTTACAGATAAATTACAGTTTCATATATATATAAAAATAACTCATTAAAATTACACAAATCTTACGGTCTGTGATTTGTTTGTAAGGAGAAATAACTCCTTATATGTAAAGAATCAAGTTTTTGTTTTCTTTTTAATTGAATGCAAACTAAGAACTGTTCTTTCTGGTCAGTTTAGCATCTATCAATGTATCTTTTCCAACACTACTACATTTTTCTATTTGCGCGACGATAGTTTGCGCGACGAAGGACAAATCGTCGCATAAAATATCATCGCGCGACGGATAATCATATGCGTAGCGCAAACAAGAGCGACGAAGAACTTTCGTCGCATAAAAGATCCTCGCGCGACAGACACTCTTATGCGTAGCGCAAATTAGCGCGACGAAGAAATTTCGTCGTATAAAAGGTCATCGCGTGACGGACAATCATATGCGTAGCGCAAAATAGAGCGACCAATACATTTCATCACGCAAAACAACTTTGCGCGACAGAAAAACGACCGTCGCGTAAAACAAGGGGAAAAAACCGCGAACAAATATTATGGCGCCTAATTCTTGCGCGACGACTAAACTCGTCGCAAATGACATCTTTGCGCGACAAAACATTATCCGTCGCGCAAGGTACGATATACAAAACCATTAATCCTAAGCCTTAATTTTAATTTTGCCATCTAAATCATATGTTTTTCATTGATTTTAGTGAAGATCATCATTCATACCCTTTTAATTATGGGAATGGT